AACAATTATTTATTTTTTTATTTAAAAGTTTATCAGACCTATACATTTGTCCACCAATTTTAGAGAAACGACGCAAGAAATTTTTTTTTCGAGCATTTTAAATACACTAATTTAGAATTTGAATCAGAATTTTAAAAAAATCAAGCCCTCCAACTCTTTGCTTATCAATTCAAATAATCAAACTTTCTAAAATAAAATGCGACTAAAAACAAAATGATAAAATTTCTTAATTGATAAAAACAAAAAAATTCAATTTAAGACGCCAATTTTGTATTAGAATTTTGGAAACAAAACATTCTTTTTTCTGGCCTTGCAATTAAAATATTGCCTCTTAAACAAAAAAGATAAACTGTTCATGTACAAAACAGCTTGTGTTGAAAATGAAATTGAAGTTAACAAATTTTCAAACTCTTCAATAACATGCGTGTCAGTTTCACTTAGTCGAAAATTCCCCTCCCTCAAAAACCTTATGAGGGTAGCTAAAAAATTGATAAAAGCAGAATAAGAAATTTTAAAGCGTCAATTGTGTGGTCATAAGATGATATATTGATTGCGCTCACGCAATCCTATTGATTTAATGATTACTTTCATTATCTTTAAGTTGCATGAGACTTAATCATCTTCAACACACGATTCATACTTTACAAGTTTCAATTAAAAAATCATTCCTTCAACGCCGCATTCTGATATTCCTAAATATTATTGGGACTGAGTCCATGGCTTATAGCCAAATATTTGGTTATTACTCATTGTTTTTATGTTGAACTACGTGTTTATAAGCATGTAATTTATTCATCAATAACTAGAAAGAAAGAGAAAAAATATGAATGAACCTCGGATAATGCTAAGATCTCAAACATTTAATAGAACATAAGAATAGGCTCATTTTAATAAGCCTAATTTCTTACATTAAAGTTTAATAATTTTTTACTGTTGCGTGATATCGGGGTTTTAAAGTACATTTTTACTCCTATAAACAGCCTTAATGGTTTCTTAGTTTCAAATCATAATTAAAGTATGTTTACCTAAGTAATGTTTCTGTTGAAAATATTTAATATTTATTTTTCAAATCTTATATTTTAATAAAATGCTTGGAGAAATAAATTCTAGTAAAATTACTAACATTTCTAACAAAAAAATGAAAAGATAGATTATAAAATTGCTCTAAAAAAACAGAATTCTGGTTAATAAAATCAAAGTATACAGTATTTAAATCAACCAATTGGAAATTATTCCCTTCATATGGTGACGGTTTACCGGTTATTCCAGTTTTGAAAAATTATATTTCTTACTACCAAACATTTAGAAAAAAAAGTAAATTTAACCAAATAAATGGTTTTTATGCCATGCTCTAAGATATCATGATAAAATTAGAAAATTTTACCACATTTACAAAATTTAATCACATATTATAAAACTATATTTTATTGTTAACTTTACCAAAATTAACAATATATTTCTCTTACGCATCGGAAAAAAATTACCAAATTGCTCGGTGTCCCCAGGTAATTTTGACCCTACTTTTTTTTCTCAGTGTAAAACAAAAGTTTATTTCTTCCGATTCTTAAAAGAATAGCGAAAACTTTTACAATTATTAATAAAAACAATAATGTAAAAATAAAGCAAACATTATTGAGCATAATTAACTATAAACTATTTCATCTGAAGAAAATTCTTATTGGTACTCCAGACTTAACAAAAAGTTCAAATGCACATAATTCTTTTCTAAAATTTTTGCTTAGCGAAATAATTGGCAATATTAATACTGTCTTCAGTGAATGTCAAATTTAAGTGTTCAGATTTTTTAATGCGAAAATAAAGTTAAAATTATTTTAAGTTTAAAAATCATCCATACAATTTATTTAGTTAATCTGCTATTGCACTATGACCTATTTTAGAAATAATCACTAATCCAAAATGTGCCTAATCTAAACGTGCCTAATGTAAATCTAAAAAATATGCCTAAATGTGTTAATCTAAAATGTGCCATTAATACTAATTTTAGTAATGAGAGAAATGAAATTCAATTAAAAATTCTATCAATATTTTTTTTATTGATATTTCATGTTGTTACTGTTTTGAATATCCACATACCAATATACAGCCGGTTTAGTTTTCGTACTTTCTAAACTCAATTGGAAAGTTTCTTTAAGTTTTTTTAAAAACAAGTCATTTTTTTCTGGCCATATATTTTAATTCATTATAAAAATACGCTTAAAAACTTTTTTCCAATTACATGCACTATAACGTGCTAAAGAAAGAAAATGAAAATATATAATTGGTTCTGAAATAGGCTGTGGTTACAAATTTTATATCAAAAATAAAAAATAATAAATCCATTTTATTACCAGAATCCATAGTATTAATTTTATTTATATTTATTTTTGTACGCTACGATTCTTTGTACAACTTAATTATATTGTTGTACAACTCAAATGACGTTTATTGCATGATATAAGTTAACTTATATGGACTTTCATTATGCAATTGAAATTGGCTTAAATTGGCTTTTACTGTGTAACTTAAAATAAGTCAATCTTTACTCTTTCTTAAGAAAAATTTTTGTTCGGTATTTTAAACCATTCGCAGAAAATACTTTTTAAAAGGATATAAAATAACGATTGCAATTTATTTATTTTATATTTTTAACTATATTCTATTTTCTAAATACCATCAATTATTAACAACGAGACATTTATTTTAAATTTTATCGAGTGTGTCACATTAAATTTGCTTACGATTGGAAATTTCAAGTAAAATAGAACTTTATTTTTACTATACAGTCTGACGTAAATAATTATAATCTAAATCCTAATTTTCAGTAAAATACTCAACATATTTACTTGTAGTTGCTTATTTTTTATTGTATTAAAACCAAATATATCCGTGCAGCTCCACATTTTATTTTCTACATTGTTTTGTTTTGATTATTTCAAAAAGGGTTCCAAAGTTATTGCAAATATCTGAAATTTTGCGAAAACATAATACAATTGTTGAATATATTGTTATAAACATATTAAAAGTAATATTGTTTTGAAACCTTCCTTTAAAAGAGATTTCATTTCTTGATTTATTTTTCTTATTTTGTTTTGAAATCTAGTCAGTGTAAAATACAATCACTGTAATTCAAACCAGTATTGAAGGTCAAACTACAATGAATTCAAAATAGATCTTGCTTTATTTCCAAACTCTAGAATAAAATATTTTTTACTCGTTTCCCAATTCTGAAACTTTTGCAAAATTAAAATTCCTTTCTGCCAAATACTAAATGCACTGTAAATTTTACAAAAGTTCGCATTGCAAAATTAAGTTAAATTTGTTAAAAGAAGCTTTTTCTTCATTTTCAAGATTATTTTCAGCAGAAAATAAACTTTAACTGTGTCAATTCAATTCTGCTAAGCATGTCAGAAGGAAATTTAACATTTCATCGATATTAATATCAGCATTTTATGACCATTACTATTGAGGAAATTTTTTGAAATATGTAGTAATATAATGAGTCCCAAACTATGCTTCAAGTGTTTTTGTTTATATTACCTTAAAAGCATCTGAATTTTTCATCCAATATATTTTCCATTTAGTCTATAAAATATCTGTCTTTAAAAAAATGCATAAAAAAGACACTAGTTGAATGAGGTTCAAATATTAAATGAAAAATTTTGTTATGAATTTAATTCAAGCTTAAAAAGACTAATTATGATATTATTTTTGTTGTATTAGTGTAAAAAAGTTCGGTTTTTATTTTTTAATTAGTCGTAGTCTTAGCTGAGATTTTACGTACCCTTTGAAATGGACAGCAAGAAATAACGAATTCAATTTACTAATAATTTAACATTTAGTCATTGCACCTTAGACTTTATAATTGATTCCTTATTTTTATTAAAAGTTTTATATAACACTGTGAAAAAGTAATGGTCAAAACTACCAGAATATGGTAAACTTTACTGCTCATCTGGTTCTATGGGAATACCAAAAATCTCGGTAATTTTTACCCAAGCGCTTCGGTAATTATTTTGGTAAAATTAACATTAAAATATGATTTTATGATGTGTGATAAAATTTTGTGGGTGTAGTAAAATTCGGTAATTTTATGATGATACAACGAGCTTAGCATAAAAACCATTTATTTGATTAAATTTATTTTTTAGTTTTGTATTTTTTACTAAATCTGTGGTAAGAAGGACTAGAATTTTGAAAAGAAGCGTATCCGTGTGCGCTAAAATACAATTTAACAACTATTCTTAGTTATTTGATTAAAATACGCTGAATTTTCTCGCTACAATTATTTTCATTATAGAGTGATTGTACTTGACCTTTGAATTGAATTATAACATATTGTAAATACAGTTTTAAAACTTAAATAATAATTCGAAATTTGATCATCATTCTAAAAATGTAAAAACCTATTCATTAAACTTATAAAAATATTACAATCATACTTTTAAATGTTTCTTTAGGTATTATATTTAGTTTTATATACAAATGATCCACTATACTTATGAAAATATTTCCATTGTAGGGAGATTGCACTTGACATTTAAGATGAATTATTACATATTATAAATATAATTGTAAAACTTGAACAACTGTTCAAAATGTGGTGATCATTCTGAAAATTTAACAAGAGAATCCTTATACTTAAATCACGCTTTAATATTCATTTTTAAGTATTCTATTCCATTTTTGCATCAAAATTAGGTTATGTTTTTGCTGAAGCACTTGTATTTAGTTCAGATTGTATTTGCCATTGAAAGCAAAATTTTACAGATTAGAAATTCAGTTATGATTGTAGAAAATTATTAAAAAAATTATAAGAGAAATTCAGGATTGAAACTAAAACAATTGCTAAATCTTTTAATATTGCTTTAAAAAAACTGATTTAATATCTTTATAAAAATTTCGGTTACAATTAAAATCACATGTCTGGGTCCTTTAGTAGATATTTGCAGAAGTTATGCATTATATATTATATATAGAAGTTATATATTAAATATACTTACTAAAAACACCTTCATTGTAGATAGATTGCACTTGCCCTTGAAAACAAGTTTTATAATAGTGTGAATTCAATCAGAAGTCTTAATCAATATTTTATCATTGCTTTGAAAATTTGACAATTGATTCTTGGTTTTTATAAACATTTCAACTACAATTTAAGATACTGGCTTTAGTACTATTTTTTGTTATTCGAACAAGCATGAAGTAAAAATTCTTTCTATAACGGCTTTCATCATGGGAATATAATGCTTGCCCTTGAAATATAACTTAAATAAGCTGTGAATTCAGCTTTGAAACTTAAAGAATATTTCCATGCTTAGTCATTACACTGAAAATTTTTACAACTGATTCGTAATATAAAGTTCTACATTAATTACATTTAAAAAGTTTAAATTGTTAAAGTTTATTTAAATTGTTTTATCTGCATTACATTTTACTAAGCTAAGAATACATTTTCATTGAGATAAATTGCACTTGCTCTTGAAAGTAAGTTGTAATATATTTAAATTCTGTATTTGGATTTAAGGAAAAAACTGATCAATACGTGTTCATTTCTCTAAAATACTGAATAACTTTTTCGATATTTTTATAAAAATTTCTATTTAACTTTTAAAAAATTGGTTTAGAGACACTTTCAATTATTTGAAGATCATTGATCTTATTAAACTAAGAAAACATTTTTATTTCAATGAAATTTCCCTTGTTCTTAAAAGTAAGTTTTTACATATTGTTATTTCCATTTCATATTCAAAGCATAGCTCAATGCTTATCTATTGTTTTAAAATACTTAACCACTGCTTCAATATTTTTAGCAATATTTCAATTAATCTTGAAAATATAGGATTTAATAATTAGGCCTGCTATTTAATCACTATTAAATTTTTTTTAAACTAAGAAAGCTTAATTCTTTAAATGAGATTGACATTGCCCTTTAAAATAACTTTTAAAAATTCATGGATCCAGCTTTCAAGTTCAAATAATCTCAAAACTTGATGTCTTGAAAATGTAACATTTTCACTATTTTTAAAAAAGAATTTTTTGCAAATAATTTATCATGAATAAAGCCTTCAATTATTCTGTATTTTAAATAAATCATGGATGCAATTTATTGAAAATCCTCGATTTAACAACGAACCAAGTCAATAAACAAAGTATGAAGCTTTTGTTTTTTTCTCTCTAAATAATTTTATTTTTACCCAAGCTCCTAATAAAATATCACATTATAAATTATTATGTCCATCAAAATTACATATGTTTGTTTTCTAAATCTAATTCATACATACCTGTTATGAACAGGTAGTATTTCTGGAAAAAAAGAGACAAAATTTAAGTAAGAAATCCAAGATTTCAAAATGTTTTGGATATTAGATTTGGGATTTGGATAGCACAAACAGTAAATGACGAAGAACACGATTTTTAACTTACCATTGCTTTTAAATACATTTGTTCCTATTTTATTCGTACTTTGGCTATGTCAATAAAAACAATATTTTTTCAGTAGTTTTAAATTTTTCTGTCATTGTTTTTAGGGGAGATACTAATTTTTCCAAACATAACTTACTAAACTTTATATCACAGATTTGCAGCCAAATCTAGTTTAATATTAGACTTAAAATGAAAACGAAAACAAAAGTTTAAATTTAAGATTTTCTGACTAAAAATATTGACGTTGATATTAGTTATTATGATTGGCATAGTTTCTAAATTTGGGGAATTTGTCACCTTTAAACAAGGATAATTATAGAAGTAGCTGCTTAGTTTTAAATTTTGTTTCAGATTCGATAATTGAATAAGAAAAATTTAAATTAAACTAAGTCCTCACTTCACTTTTTCAAAAGCTACTATATTAATCAGTATGGATATAGTTATGACAAAAATATACTTGAATTAAGGAAAATTTCGTCAAAAATAAAACAGCAAAATTTTTAAATGTATTTAAAAAAACGCTAAAAAATCAAAATATAAACGTGTTTTAGTAAGATAAATTTCAATGATTAACGTTTCGACATAAATTGTTGACACTTCGGTAGTACAAAAAAACTGTATACGAAGATGAAAATTTAAATTTTATAATAAAATACTCTTAAGAATATTTTTGAAAACTGATAAGCTCTTGCTTAAGTTCATATATTGAATTTTTATGATTTATTCATAGAATTGAGAATCATTTCAGATCAAGAATTGAAATTTAATTCAGATTCCCAAACAAATGTTTAAGAGCTCTTTACTTTAATTACTGAAATTCACAACCTATTAAAATTTATTTTCAAAAGCTGGTAAATTTTCTTGCCTAAATAAGAAAAATAACAATTTTAAACCCATTTCAAGTCGAAATTTGGCCAACCAAACCAAATATTGAAGAAAATAATTTCTTAATGAAAATTCTAAGTATTTGTTTTTTGCTCCCTGGCAAAAAATAGTCGCATCAGAATCCTGAGCCGTTCTTACTTATATCTGATATCAACTGAGTAATTGATGAACCTTTTGTAAATAGTGTGAGTATGTTTTTTGTACTGATTGATACTTTTAAATAGCATTAAATATTTTGTAAAATAGAGCTGAAACACCTGCAAAATCTAATTAAAATAAAATGCTTACAAGACGAAAGTCAAAAAGCTGCAACTAAAGTTTATTTTTAAAACATGCTGTCTTTTATATATTACGAAATAATGAAACTAAGATCTTGATTCTATCGAAAATCCTTTTTATAAAACACTTAATGTAAAATTTATATGAGATTTAGAAACTGTTGTATTCTTAGAAAAATTATTTTGAAGTGTGCATTCTTTTTTTAATAATTTATCTCTTAAGCTTTTAAAAATAGAGTGCTTATATTAAAATAAACGATTGAATTTCAAACTAAATACTCCAAGTTCATGCATTACATTGCTCATACTAAAATTTGAGCTATTATTTTGCTATCATTTCGTAAATTTTTAACTATAAATTATTAAGCTTGTTTTACAATTATTTACCTTGTTTTTAGATACATCGATTTAACTAGATATTGCTTTATGCTTTTCCAGGCATAAACATCGTTTTTTGATTATTTTTACTCTTAAAAACTTACAATAAGTATTAATCCATTGCATCATTTAGCATTACATTGTTTATAAAAAAGTGACGCTTTCTTACTGTAATAACATTATTTATAAATCAAAATATTATAAACCAATTTAATCAATTGTAATAACTTTGTAATATTTGAACAAATAACTTCATAAAAAATACAGAAAAGTTGTTTTTTAAAAATGCAAGAATGACTAACATAATTTGTTACGAAATACTTTAAATTTTAATTCTTTTTCTGTATTTATTTAATATTGTCATGTTGTACACGTAATAATCATTATATTCATTTTTTTTTATATTAACAATAAACAAAATTTTTTAAAAATATATCCTGTATATTAAACTTCCTCGATGTCATCCAAATCATTGTTTACTTTATAATATCTAAACTTTAAGATTAACTTTATGTCATATAATAGAAATGTTGATCGAAAATGTGTAAAATACTTACATAATATTTTACCAAATAACAAAAGCTACCGATTTTAATATATTATCATTAAACATAAAAGGAATCTGATATTATTTGCACTTTTACGCTACAATTTCAATGTCATTTATATGTTTTTAATAGGGCCATTAATTTCATTAAGAATATTAAAGCCTATTCTACCTTAAAGGTTTTTGAACATTTGTCAACACTTCGTAATGACATTACAATATCTGAACTTTAAACTTAAATGAAAAAAAAAAAACATATATACGTAGAAAGAAATTACATAATATGTTTTAAAATATTCTGTAAGACTCAATAAAAATATCCAAAAATTTTTACATTTTATGCAATTTTTTCTTTTTAAATGGAGTTTTTGTTTAATTCGTAAATAAACGTTGATAAAGACATAGTACAATTTACTTTATAGCTAAGTGTTCTCTGAATAAAACTTAATTTTTATGACCTTTAAACTATGGGCTTTTTCAAAAAGTTAGAAAAGTTGTCATGAAGAAATGCAAAATTACTTACTATGCTACAAAACACTGCTAATTATAATGCTTTAGTCTGCCAGGCTTTCTGTGTTGTTTACTTTTGGACCCTGTACATTTAAAATCGTCTATTTGTCTTCTATAGATTTATTGATAAATTTAGTGAAAAATAAAAAAGAATAAAATAATGTTTTCTCAGGTAAATTTATTTATAAATTTATTAAACGATTTCTAATTTAATTATAGTAATTAAGTGGTATATTTACTATGAATTTCCTTTTTAGTACTGGAATGATGAGTGCTCTTTTATGCTTTTTATTATTTTTACTAATCTGAAACATCCAAATACTTTTAATTGCAAAATATGTATTTTACATTTTTGGAAATTCTCTATTAGAAGCAAGCACAACCAATCAGAAATTTTGAAGCAAAACTATCAGAATTTAAGTCGTCTATTTATGTTGCATACTTAACAAAATAATTTAGCTATATTTACCTTTTTGGATTAATAAAGTTTCTTAATCAAACCAAGTTACGAAAAACACAATTCCTGTCATAGTTTTTCGACTTTGTTTCTTAAAAATTCACTCTTCGAAAAAGTAAAACAGGAAAATTTAGAGAAGTGATAATTTCTGTCGAAATGTAAACAAAAGCATTCTTACCACCTTAATATTTTTAAAAAAATGCAAATCAAAGCATGCTTTGAAATATCATTAATATCCAGACATTAACTGCATTTTATCAAAAAAATTGATAAAAAAAAATATATAACTCATATACAAGCTTAAAATTTATAAACGTAAAAATTAGTAAACGTATTTTTACTAGCTTTAAATTAGTGAAATTCATTCAAAAATATCCCTTCTAAACACTACTTGGTAAAGTTCAATAAAAATAAGGATACATATATCTCAGCTATAAAATGTGATAAACTCTAATCAAAACATGGTAAAAGTATCCTTAGTAAATTTCAATCAAAATATGGGAAAAATATCCCATCTAAACAATAATTAGTAAAGTTCAATCACTATAAGGATGAATAATATCCTTACAACTATAAAATTTTATAAACTCAAAATTAACAAAGCAAATTTCAGTAAAAGTATTCTTACTATTTTTATATTGGTAAAATCCAATCAAAACATCGGCAAAAATATCCATCCTAAATAAAAATTGGTGTCATTCAATCAAAACATTGATAAAAAAATACCCTAAAATTTATAAACTCTAATCAAAACATTGATAAAAATATTGTTACTCCTTTAACAGCTAAAAGGGAATTGCACTCAAGAATATTCACGTAGAATAATAAGAATGGTAGTGAACTTTTCGTCACTTCCTTGAGGATACTATAATAAAGTGCAAGAAAGGTTATTGGCTCTAAAAAGAACCTGGTTGTATGCACCTAGTGCAAAGGGGGAGCTCGGTGAACAGGGATCTTTCTATAGTACAGCCTCTCTTGGGATACGGAAGAAAAGATTTTTTTCTGGGGGGTTACATCTGCGTGTGAAAATATTTCCTGTAAGGGGTCCAATGAACCCCTTTACTCACTGTTTCTTCAATTCCATCACAGTTTCGGGTTAACAGCCCGAAGTTAAGGTAAAGTGTGCAATTCGGTGTACGATACCATAGGAGAATTTTTTAAAGTTCAACCAGAGATAAGAAGTTGATATTTGAAAGCCTTGGGTGGTCTATACCTGCATAGTAGAAAATCTCACGTTTGAAATTGTTTTGTTTACTTCGGCTTAAATTCGTTTTGTTAGTTTTTTCGCAAAACTTACTAATGATAAAATTTTTATTAACATATTTTTTTTCTTAGACAATAGATCAAACTTTGTGAAACCATTAAATTTAGTTATGTTTTGCAGATTTTAAAAATTCCAATAAATTTATGATAATCTTAATTTCTTAAAAAAATATGTGTACTGATATATACATATATTTGCTATTAAATTGTTCAAAAAAAATCTTTGAGCTTACATAAATGTAAAAGTATTTATTATTTACTTAAAATGCAGCTCTCTACTTTCCACAGCAACCAAATTTATTTACGTAAATTGATATTCCTCAGATTTATTATCAACTTATCAACTTACCTTTTCAACTTCAAATATATTCCCGTTACTCATAGAAAATTTTAAAACTATTAATCAAAGTGAAATAACAAAACGAAGATTTTTTTTTCTTGAACGTTTTTTTTTAAAGAAAGATTTTCTTTTACGTAAAATTTATAAAATATTAATTATAAACTATTGAAAAAATCTTATCATTTAAAACAAAATACAGAAATATTGTAGGTCCAGTTTTCTTTAATATTTTTAAGCAAAAAAACTAATAATTTTAAATTTAGTTTGCTACAGCAATATGTTACCACTAACTTTATTAACATGTATGCTGATTATTAAGCTATTAGCTTGATGTTTTCTTATCTGCAAACTATTAGAAATTTTTCTTATCGCCTTACCTTAATGGAAATAACATTGTCTATTGCTCTCAGCAATTTTTTTTCTTTAAATTTGTCAATAAAACTATAAAAGGAGGATTTTTTTACTTTATCATAGCGAAGAAAAAAAATTATGGACGAATCTATTTTAAATAGAAAAAAAAAATTAAAGATTATTAATAGTAAGAATAGTTAATCATTAAAACGAAAATTAGATAATAATTAATTGATGATTAAGAATTATTAATAATAAAAAATTAAGAAATAAAATTTTCCACTACCAACAACTACAAAATTTGTTTTTGTAAATTATAAATTTTCAGACTTACTTATTTTTATTCTCAAATTGCTAGAAAATTGCTATCAACTTACCTTCTTAGTTTTAATTATATTTTCTGCTCCTCACAACAATTTTTAAATTTTTGTTTATAATGTAATGATAAAAAAAACTTTCTTTTTTTATTATTACTTTGAACGCTTTCTAAAATGAAAAAAAAAAATACACACACACTCTTTTTAAGTAAGATACTATTTTATTAACATTAAAATTTTATTATACTACTTTACTAACATTCAGTTAACTTGTTTCTTAAATATTTTTTTAAAAAAGGTTGCATAAAAATATTTAGTATAACAATTTTTATAGTCTTAAAAAAATTTCTGACATAAATTGTATAGTAATAAATAATTTGCAAGCGTTTTCATTCCTTTCTACTGGAAGTAAATAAACGCATTTGGAAATAAAAATAATTTCCATGCTGATTTTTTATCATATTTTAAAATTAGATACAATACATAATTTCAAATTTTAGTTCCTGAAATTGCAAGTTTTCTAACTCTTTTAGAGAATAATATTAAAGTATGCAATCTGAAGACTTAAAATTTTTGAAAGTTGTCTTCGAAATTAAATATAATGCTTACCTTTTTTTCCAGTCTCAATTCCCTAAATCAACTGAAATATAAGAATTTTATGGTTAAAAACTCTCACCATTCAATTAAAAAAATTGATTATTAGTTATTTAAATTTCTATCAATATTTAAATTTCTGAAATATATATGGTCACTTTTTCAAACTTGATTTTTTAAGAAAAAAAAAATCTGATGCAGGATTTCTGAAAAGAAAAAACACGCTTTCTTATTTCCGTAAAATTAAAATAGATGTATTAAAGTATATTTTTTATGCTAAAATGAAAGTATGCAAGCAAAAATTTAAATAAAATTAATGCATTCGCTTTTTAAATAGCGGGCAAGGCCTACCGGTAGCGCGATAACGCCGAAACCGAAACTGATGAAATTTCTTCCGCGAAGTTAAGGGATAAGGAGTGATCACGATAAAAGTTGTGAAGGAATTCGCGCGGCGCCACGAACATTTATTCCTATAAGGAACGTAAATTTATCGTAGGGACGGTCCATCGAAAATGGAAAAGCATCTCCCTTTTTTCAAAAAAAAATTATAATTAACAAGGAGCGTTTTTTGGCGATGTTTCTACGGTGTGGAGACGGAGGAGGTGGGTGCAATCGATCTTCCACAGAGTATAAAAATGTTCTTCTATAGGGGATGGTTCTTGCGCAGTTACCCTGTCCCTAGCGCTTCTTTTGGTTGTTTGATAAAGAGAAAACCTTCTGTACGCGCATTTTCTTTGCTTCCACGCCCTCTGCCGAGCTCTCTTGTGACGTCATGTTCACCCCTCCACCGCACGTGATACCTAGCACCCAATCCTACACCCACAACAGAGTCTCCCTCTATCGGCAATCAAGGTAAATTCTTGCACGCCCTCCCTCAAAATCCTTTTTATCCTGCGACCCCTATTCTTTGCCGCCTTTTAGTCGAAGCTCGACTCGCATCGGAATCGGTTGGTGTGTCGACGCGCTCCGCCAAACAGAAGTCTCTCCTTTTATTAGTTCCGGCGTTTCATACTTATATCCGCCACTGGACAATACTCTGACCTTCTAGTCAACTGGCCTCTCCTTGAATGGAGTTGCTGCTATGATTGTCAATAAAAGTAGGTCTTCCTTCTTTTGATATTCCTTTTATCCCACCCAATTATCCCTTTTTTAAACCCCTTACCGGACTTAGGTTATTTGTGATTCGACTCGGACTTTGCCGGACGCCACTTATGCCCTTTCGCCGACAGTGTTGGACTTAGTTCGGACGACGATCACCGCGTTGAACGCGTAATTCTCGACAAGATGTGCGTTTAAGTGGACTTATTTACTAAAGGATTTTCATAAATCATTGCAAATATTCACCACACACGTTTTTTTTTCGTGCACTTTAACGAAGAATAATGGATTTTTTTGTGATTTTCGAAAAATGCAGAAGTGAAGATCAAGCCAATGGATTTTTCCCCTTTTTATATTTGCATCTATTCTTTTGATGTCAGTGGAAAAATTTTAATTTCTACTTGACAGAAAAATTGTGTTTTTATTTTCTTTTACTAAAGACTTTCCAAGATAGCAAATTATTCGAGTCATAAAGTTTAATAAGACACCGAAAGTATTTCTAGTAAATAATTTCGTGTCTTAGAAATAAAATGACTCAAATCAAAGTGATGAAAAATATTCAAAATAATCTTTCTAGTTCAAGTTAAGGTGCAATTTTACGCGGGTAAGTTTGAATTTATATTTTTTTTCCATTTATTTATTTAATTTATATAATATTTAAAGGAATTAAAAACTATTGTAATATGATTTCATAACAGTTAAAAACTATAATTATATTACTTAGTAAGAAATATTAAAACACTAAATAATAAGCTCATTCAAATAACTAAAAAATTAGTTTAAAAGCTAATTTGTTTAAATTAAAAAATTATTATACGATGATTATTGCTTTCATGAAACAATTATTTCCATGTTCAGTAACTGTATCATTTCTACTGAAATTTTACATTAAATATATTTCTTTTAAAACTCTTTTTTCGGAAAATTTGGCTTTAAAGAAATTACAATTTGGAAACTCTGATTAATTTATTCTTAGAGTAATTCGATATATTTTCAATGCAACATAATTAATGTAATTATTACATACATAATTACGAACGTTATAATGCAGTTATATGATATGCTAAATTTGACTTTTAGAAATCTTACATCAACGCTTACACACACATTTAAAAAAAAGTACGAAGAACAGATTATAATTGGTAAAATTAAAAATATTTAGTTAAAACAATAAATTAAGAAAATTAATAAAATGTTTTTCAATTAATTCTTTTTCATGACAGGTCTGCTTTTAAAACATTCAATCACAAAACTTTTAAAACGCGTTCTTACAGACAAAAAACTTAGATGCAGTATTATTAACCTTTCATATTATGCTTTTCCTATTGAAAAATAAGAGATCGGCAGAACATAAGTTTAAATATCATATTGTTCATGTAACACGTGTTTATGAAATGAAATTTCGCGCTTTTCGTTTAAATCTAACAATAAAAAAATTATGGTTCAATAAATTATAAACATTTCCTCTAGATCTGGCATTACTATTCATTGAATAAATCTTCTCTTCCGGCATCTTATCGTGGCGGAGTAAAGTGATAAAGAAGAAAATTTGCGCGCGCTATCCTTTTCTTCTCTAATCATTTAGGTGTGAACAGAAACATGATAAGGAGAAATGTTTACTTTGAGCAGCCCCAACAAAACGGAACGAAAAGCAAGTTCGTTGTCTGCGAGCGCCCTCTATTGACATCTTTTGTATACTCCTGCCTTAATCCATCACCTTCATTAAACAGTAGGCGGTAAATCAGAATTCCGTTTCGCCGACGTTTTCTCATTTACTTAAACATTCAATAAGCAGCGTAAGGCTAATCTTAAAGGATTTTCCGTTCCTGATTTTTATGTAAACGGAAAAAGCTGTCTAGAGCGCCTCATTTTAAGGAAAGGCTGCGAGTTATATTTATTTGTTTAAACATGTGTTTTGTGCTAGGAAAAATAAATAAACAAATGATTATTATTTATTATAATGATTTAAATATCATTTCTTAGGAATTTTTATTTAAACTTTTTTTATACAAGTCATACATAATCTAGACTTTTCCAACTTATAATATTTTTTAAATTGTTCGTAACTTTTAACAGTCGCAAAAAATATTTTAGTGAAGTAAGCACTTTCAGCGTATTTTTCTCTTTCTTAATTATTCTGAATTTTATAGCTGCTGTTAGATAAAAGCTGTACAATTTTCTTCAATCGAAGCAAAATGTTTTTTTTCCCTTCCTTTTGCAAGATTTTCTTTTTAAAACTATTCAAATCTATCTCAATCATAGTGAAATAGTTTAAAAATTATATAGCTTTCATGCCAAGATTTATGCTTACTTAAACATTTCTGGCTTAGAACGTATAACTCTGATAAAGTTAGGATGCTTTGTATTAATGGTTATACAAAACCATATTGGAGGTCAGCAATTTAAATAAAATAATTCTAAAACATAACATATATAAAAATCCTTTTAAGAAAGACTCAATTGTGAAAGCTTATTTATTTTTATAAAAAAAACTTGAAAGAATCTAGTCATAGAAGGAATCTATTCTAGTTTTAAATGTTAAAAAAAATATACATCAGTATTATTACTTTGAATAAAAACTCTTTTTTTTTAAAAATAAAAAAACGAAAATGTGCATATAATATACATTTTTACGTAGTGTAGTTCGAAAATTATTTTACAAAAAAGGAAAATAATTCTTTTTTAAAACTTAATGGATAATTTAATTTTCTATTGATGAAGAAAATGCATTGTGGTAGTTTAAAAAGTAGTTTGCCGAGTTATTGTTTATATTTAAGTGATTAGAAGGACATTTTAAAGATATTTTAAAAGATTAAGAGAACGCGTTTATTACCCTAACAAGCTGAACATTATACTCTTACTGAAAATAATGCATTGAGCACAATTAGTGTTCCGATGTCAATTATTCACTTTTAAAGACACGATATTACAAAAATAGATTTCAATATCGGTAAGAAACATCATCTCTTCTAATTAGGCGCTATTTGAGAACAAAATGTGGAGAGCAACTTTGAAATATTGAATACATATTTGGAATTGCTTCATCGAGAATTACTTATGACAGTATGTTAAACAGATTAAAACATATTGAAGAGCACTAAATTCATTAAACTGCTAATTATTGATACTTCGACGATGAATCGTGCATTTTTTTAAAAAAAAGATTAATCATTATAAGCCATGCTAAATTTAGTTATGTTTATTACTGATAATTTTTCAGTACAAAAACCATTTAGGTTCGCAACACTTCCTTTTTTAAGAAATGTTAAAAATGAACCGCAACTAAAAAATGGGTAAAAATTGTTTACTGGCATAACTACAAACTATTACCTATAGCGATTTTTTAAAACTTTTATCATTTATTTAAAAATTGTGTTTTTCCTATCAGACAATCACCTTTAAAAAGACTATGATTTGAATTGAGTTTTAAATCATTCTTGACAATAATAAATAAACTTCGTAAAGCAGAAAACCTAATATTCAATAATATATTTCGTGATATATTATTTTAGTGTCACAGATAGTTTCAAGTATCTGGTTGATGTTAAGATAATGAAAGATTTATATTCATTGTCTTTTGCTCATCATAATTTAAGAATCTACAAACATTGGCACAGCTTTTTAAGGAATACGTTTAAGAAATGCTTTCAAGCTCAATCTTAAAAATTGCGTGAATTTTGAAATTTGATAAAACTTTTTAAAGAAATGCTAGGTTTCGTTTTGTATGAATTCGTGATTTATTTCATCCTTGTTTTCCATAGAGAATAGTATTTAAAAAGTACTAAAATTTAGCTTTTGAAAGTAAATCTAAACGTGTGCACGTAAACGCGATTAGGAAATGGGCATAATGAAATTAGAACAAGTAGTGTGAGAACGTTTCATTTTCGTGTCCAGGGAAATAAATTCCAATTAAATTGATCATCGTTTTTGCATTACGATAAAAAAATTTCTCCTAGCTAATGCATGTCGATTTATTGAAAAATAAGATTCCTATCTTTCCCTGAAAGTATTTTTCTGCATGTTGAATTTTTCTTTCCTTGTAGAAATATTCCCTTCCTTTTTATATTTAGTGTTTAGAAAACTTAGATTAGTCCTTATATGCAACCCCCATCTCCTTTTTTTATTCTACTTTGTTCTTTTAAGATTATTAAATATTTTATTCTTCTCTTCTTTCTCTTTTACATTTTCTGATTGAACTAATTTATGACTGTTTCTCTTCCAGTAACTCAAACAAATATAACCTACTGCAATAATTAAAACAGTTCTGAAAATATGCTAAGTGTTTAATTGCATACATCTGTAAAAATAAAAATCTCACTTTACTTTATACTTCAATAGCTCTGGTTCAACAAGAAAAAGATATTTGCCGTTGGACATATTTACAGATAAGTGCTTTTACACAACTGCTTGCATTGCTAATAGAGCAGTAATTTTCAGGGGGAAATAAGCATGTCCAAGGATCTTTAATGACATATTTCATCAACTTGTCTTAAAAAATATCCTAAAAATTATTTTTAATATGATTTTTTCTGGAATATACTTGTGTAATAATATTAAAAATATTTCGTGCGAAATTTGATTTTTACTTTTACAAATTTCCATTTAAAATTACATAGTATATTTAAAACAACAAGAAAAGTCTGGGCATTTCCTACCGCAATCAAATCAATGTTTTAACTTACTCAAATAATAAAGTTTGTTCCTCAAATATATATCTATTTTTGAATTATTCTAAAAATAGGCATATACCAAATTTTGTTACGAATTATAAATATCCAATTGAAAAAAAACAAGTAAGCAATATC